TCTTAAATTTCATTAAGCTATCATCAATTTGGCTTAAAACTTTTACACATACTTCTCAGCTTCTAAATCTCAGCTTCGCGTAAATCCTAATCTTAAATCTTTTAAAACCATCTCCAACCTATCTCAACTATCTTTGATTCACTCTCGTCTCGAACTTTTGCTATTCATTTTCGCACTATGCGAATGAGTAAAAACCACAAAAGTGAATTTGTTAATTTGTGTTTTTTATGTGGTTTTTGTTTTGTTTTGCTATGGGATTTTTTCGATTTATTTGTTGGGATGGGAGGCCCGCGTCTGGGGCAGATGGATTGGAAACTCTCGATATTAGCGTCTGGTGGGGACTGCTCTGCGACTGCTTAATTATTTGCGTTGATTTATGCGAATTTTATAACGAAATGCGGCGGGCAAGGGAGGTGCCATTATTGTCTTGATCGCTGATCGATGGCCAAGACATCAGCGGGCCACAAAACCAACAAAACTTAGAGACCAAACATCCATAGACCAGCATTAGTTCCAGTTCCCCTCGTTTTGGTTTATCGGGGAATACAAATCAGATGCATAATGGACAACCCACCTCAATTACGTAATAATTATAGTTTGTCTGGTTTAATTGTGTTTATTATATTGATTGTGAGCGTGTTTCGTTATTAATTACCGATCGATTCGTTCAATGTGCTCTTCAATTGGTTCACACGATGCCAGCGATTCGAAAACGAAAATAAATACGGAAAGCGTAAATTCCGTTAGCACTTCTTTTTTTCTTTGCATTGCTAAAATAATTTCTAAATTCGTCTGTCTTTATTTTAAATTTAAACAATTGCCGCGTAATTAGCCAGCATCAATTTATGTCCAACTTCCCCACCATCGCAGACCACATTGCATCTCACTCAGTTCGATGTCCAAATTCGAGGTATTTTCGGTCTTAACGGGAATAGAACGCGTCCCGGGTCGATTAAATTATTTCAAGTGGTTTTCAATTCCGCATAGTTGGTTGTTAGTTGGGGTGATCAAGGGGTGTTACATATAGATATGGCGGAAGTCATTCCAGGTTGCTCTAGCTAAGATTTTTTTGTAGTACCTTTGAATTTCAACAAAAGGGTGCATACTTAAGGATACTAGTTTTAGAACCCAATACATATAATTTAACTATAACTAATTTATTGTTCTTTATCAATATTATAATAAAACAAAGATGTTTCATTAAAAAAAAGCTCCTGTGTAATATTATTTCTTAAAGATATTACTTTCATTTGAAAAAGATCAAATGATTCGATATCAAATGGTTACAAGGGTATTTTGGATAATGGTAAAGATCTTTCTTTCTACCATTTTTATTTTATTCTATTTAGTTTTATCATTGCAGATTGTGATAAATCCAATTTTATATGATTATGTAAGATCAAAAAGTCTTAGGACAATTTCTATACTTAAATATATTATGCTGCACTGCTTTTATTAGGTATTTTAGAGAATGAATGAATATTTTGATAAATCAAATGTTTGAAAATCATGTATTTTTTATTACTTAAGCATAATACTTGCACTTTTTAATAAAGAGGTAAAACATTAAGGTATTTTTTTATTTTTTCAAAAATTAATCAGTACTTCCCAGTCGTTTTTGTGGCATTTCCCCAACATTCCACGGCTGCGTTTGTTTTGATTTCGATTTCTATGCACTTTCCTCTCCCTTCGAGTGCAATGTCCACAAATCACGAGGCTTGGTGGATGTCACACTGGCGGCATGCAAAAAGAACGTGCAAGTCGGTGTCATCAGCACCACCAGTACTAGTCACTAGTCTCTAGCACTAGTAGTCACTAGCACCACTAGCCAAGCTAGCACCACTGGCCCCTCAACCACCGTCGTCATTATCATCTGTCTGCTGATCGGCGGCATGGGAATGCAATGGTTTGGCGAGGCGTCGCCAGAGTTCATCCAACATCGAATATTGGACATCGGACAGGTTTTCCTTTGGACGTTTTCCCCTCCCCGGGTCTTTTCTTTTATTTTTTTTGGCCACTTTGTTGCCGCTTGTTGGTCAATTTCGACTGGCAGGCTGCTGGCGGCTCTCGCATATGTAAACCTTAATTTGAAACTGATTGGATTGCCTGGCCGTTGGCCTCTTGTTGTTGCCTTGTTTTTCTTTGAATTTTTTTTGTTTGTGAATTTTTGGTTATTTCTTAATTTTGCCATGCACTTGATGAGCTTGATTTGGCTTTGATTTGATTTTTGAGGTTTTTTTGTTAGGCAGCCATAGTGATTTTAATTGCCTTGAATTTGTCATATTTAACAAGAAACATGAACAATAAAAAACATTGTGTTCAGAATATGCATACAAATTTTCTAAACAATTTACTATTACAACATTTTTTGGCAAATATTAAATTTTATTGCCTCAAAATTGTAAATGTTTTTATACTCAAATGTTTTGTTAGCCATCTGACAGCTTACGGTTACAACTCCTCTTTATTCCCATTCAAATTATCGAAGCTGTAATTAAATTCAGCAAGCATTACATAACTTTTGGCAAATTTCAGCGAGAACAGGCCAAGCAATAAATTCCAATCAAAAACAAGCAAACACCGAAAACACGTTAAGAATTATAACCAAATGAAAAATCTGGCAGCAACACACAAAAAAACTTAACATCAAGCATTAATGCGTCGCCGAAGACAAACCAAGAAAATTTATTGTCCATAATGTTTGCTTGGTTAATTTTATTATTTTAATTATTGGATGCTTGGATTTCCTATGCGGTGCCACCTTGACGAATGTGTTCGCACTGTTGTTGTGAAAAAAGTCATAGAAAAACCGTCAAGAAAAAGATGCTGCAGTTAACAAGTTTTCCCCCTGTGCGTATGTCTTTGGTTTTGTAATCAAACAAAAATTGTTTGCTAATAGTCTGGCTGCCTGGCTTGCCCAGCTAGAAGATACGTCTGCTTGGCCAGTTCTTTTCAAAAAGGAAAAAAATTGGGAAAAAATTACGACTCTACAACAAGCCGGTGAACAAATTTTAGTAGCTTGGCTTAGTATGGCTTAAATGTAAGAGATTTTTATATGTTTTTACTCTTTAACATGGTTTATGGAGAATACCATGCAATTTGATTTTTTTCTTTTAACATTTTAATTACCTTTATCAACAATATACATTATTTATTTTTTACCACATGTATTTTGACTATTCAAACAATTTCTTATAGGTCATAGGCAATTTACACTATCCTTTTAACCGCTGAAAAATTAAATAAAAATAAATTAACAATTTTTTTTATGTTTTACTACCTTTGTTATTTATTAAAGTGCATTTTTAATTCGTGGTTTCTTGGCCAGTTATGCCATGTTTTTTCTCGGTTACATTGTCAATTGGCTTGTTTATTTCATGTTTTGGCGCGTAACTTGTTTTCTAACGTTTCGTTGTCGTCATCGCACTTGAAGTTCGAAGATGCGGCAGAAACCGAGATTGCATCTGCCTCATCGCTTTGATTGGCAGACAGACGGCCCACAGAAAGTCCGACCAGACTGAAGAGTCATTCGAGGTGTTTAGCTAAGCCAAGAAACAAAAATCGCAAAAAACGAATTCCTTTAAATCAGCTGCATACTAGTTTTTCAGCTGGATTAACTAACATCTAAATTATAATTATAAATTACATTTATTTAGTTATTACTTTTATATTGACAACATTTTATAGGAATTCCTTTATACCCCATAAATTATTGATATTATTATATTGACTACATTTTATAGGAGTTCCTTTATAACCCATAAATCAGTTACCCAACTTTGTTGCATAGGATATAAACTGTTACAGTAACTTTGCTAATAGAAAAACAACGCCCTTTGGCTATAACTATTTTTAAACAGCCACCTTTTTGGCTCACTGCAGAGGCAGAAGAAGCAGAACTCACGTGCAAAAATAACACCGAGCAGGGAAAAATCGAAGAACCCCAACGAGCCCCTTCCAGTTGCCTTTGATGGCGTAATCATCACGAACACAAGGGGGGAATATACACCAGGATATATTCTACCCTTCAGTTCCAAAAAAAAAGTTTCACTTGTGAATCACCTTGTGAATCCCGTGGGACATGTCCTCTTGCACAAGTGAAGAACAACCCTTCAGTTCTGCAGTAGGGACGCGGTGACATGGCTCAAGGCAAAAAGCTTTTTTGTTTTTTTTTTTGTGCCTAAAACGCTGTGCCGCTGTTGACGTCAGCAGAGAAGTCGGCGCAGTGTAGAAGACTGCCTACGAAAACGATCGTGCAACAAAGTGAGGCAGATATTCGGAGCTTCCCTCTCTTTCTTTGTCTTATAATCTGCCTGCACTCGGCGCTCTCAGAGACAAATTTCGGCAGGTCCGTTATTTCTTTTGAGTCTCTCCGTTATGTTCGGCTAGCGACTAGTGTTTCGGCGGAAAAATTTTCGTGGCGCAGCGACATGTGAGTGCCCTAATATTTTAGGAGCATTATTGTATATCAAAAAAAACAACTAATATTGTTTTATAAAAGTAAATTATTTGATTATAGTAAAATTAAGTAAATTGAATTTACTTATAATGTTATATTTACTTATTATACATTCTTACTACAATATAATTTTTTAGTTAGGTTATAGAAAATTAGTCCGTTAAAATGGATTTAAGTATTTAAAACATTTAAGTATTAACATTTAAAAAAAAATCGTATTGTATTTTTTACTCAAGGAGTAAAAACTATATAGTCGGATATATTTCACTTTAGAAAGGGTATAGGTGCAGTGGCACGCGCCAACAGCGAAGAGAAAACAAAAGAAATCTAGTAAAGGGGTGAGAAGACTTGGTGCATTCTGTTTGAGTGATTGAAAGGGAAGCATCCATTTTAATGGTGCGCAGCAGAGTTACTTTAATCGTTTAGTTAATATAATAAAGTCAGGTAAGTGCTACATTAAGTTTAAGATGTTGTGCATTGATCTTAGTTTAAAGTACGTAAATTTTGAAGGTATTCAATGGGTTCCGTTAGTCGAAAGTGGATGACGAAATGTTTTGTGCCAATAAAAATTCTGCAACAAGCTATAAAAGGTAAATATACAATTAAACAAATAAAACGCATTTTTTAAACATATGTTTTTTCAGGAGCGTTGGCCAAGGATTCAGAGGACCCGGACAAAGGTTTAAGAACGGCGATGTCTAACGTTAAAAATAAGGTTACGAAGCAAAAGAACAGAAACAATAATTGTACAATTTTTGAAAATCTAAATAGTACCATATAATTAAAATGAATTAAAATGAAATGAATTAAATTCTATATTTTTTTAATTGAAAACTCAAGGAAAAATTCTGATTTTCACAAGTGATTCACTTGGGACGTGTCCCTTGCAAGTGATTTCACAAGTGAAAACTCAAGGAAAAATTCTGATTTTCCCAAGTGATTCACTTGGGACGAGTCACCGGCACGTGACAGGCCATACGAAAAATGAGTATAAGGAACAAGTGAATTCCCGTAGGACTTCGAAAAATTTTCATTTGAATTTTCACTTGTGAAAATGCGGACATCCCATACAATTTTCTATATGGAGCGTCACTTGTTCTTCACTTGTGCAAGAGGACATGTCCCACGGGATTCACAAGGTGATTCACAAGTGAAACTTTTTTTTTGGAACTGAAGGGAAGTGACGCTCCATATAGAAAATTGTATGGGATGTCCGCATTTTCACAAGTGAAAATTCAAATGAAAATTTTTCGAAGTCCTACGGGATTTCACTTGTTCCTTATACTTATTTTTCGTATGGCCTGTCACGTGCCGGTGACTCGTCCCAAGTGAATCACTTGGGAAAATCAGAATTTTTCCTTGAGTTTTCACTTGTGAAATCACTTGCAAGGGACACGTCCCAAGTGAAACACTTGGGAAAATCAGAATTTTTCCTTGAGTTTTCACTTGTGAAATCACTTGCAAGGGACCCGTCCCAAGTGAATCACTTGTGAAAATCAGAATTTTTCCTTGAGTTTTCAATTAAAAAAATATAGAATTTAATTCATTTTATTTTAATTCATTTTAATTATATGGTACTATTTAGATTTTCAAAAATTGTACAATTATTGTTTCTGTTTTTTTGCTTCGTAAGCTTATTTTTAACGTTAGACATCGCCGTTCTTAAACCTTTGTCCGGGTCCTCTGAATCCTTGGCCAACGCTCCTGAAAAAACATATGTTTAAAAAATGCGTTTTATTTGTTTAATTGTATATTTACCTTTTATAGCTTGTTGCAGAATTTTTATTGGCACAAAACATTTCGTCATCCACTTTCGGCTAACGGAACCCATTGAATACCTTCAAAATTTACGTACTTTAAACTAAGATCAATGCACAACATCTTAAACTTAATGTAGCACTTACCTGTGTTTATTATATTAACTAAACGATTAAAGTAACTCTGCTGCGCACCATTAAAATGGATGCTTCCCTTTCAATCACTCAAACAGAATGCACCAAGTCTTCTCACCCCTTTACTAGATTTCTTTTGTTTTCTCTTCGCTGTTGGCGCGTGCCACTGCACCTATACCCTTTCTAAAGTGAAATATATCCGACTATATAGTTTTTACTTCTTGAGTAAAAAATACAATACGATTTTTTTTTAAATGTTAATACTTAAATGTTTTAAATACTTAAATCAATTTTAACGGACTAAATTTCTATAACTTAACTATAAAATTATATTGTAATAAGAATGTATAATAAGTAAATACAATATAACATTATAAGTAAATTCAATTTTCTAAATTTTACTATAATCAAATAGTTTACTTTTATAAAACAATATTAGTTGTTTTTTTCTATACACAATAATGCTCCTTAAATATTAGGGCATTCACATGTCGCTTCTCCACGAAAATTTTTCCGCCGAAATATTAGTCGCTAGCCGAACATAACGGAGAGACGCAAAAAAAAATAACGGACCAGCCGAAATTTGTCTCTGCGAGCGCGGAGTGCAGCAGATTATAAGACAAGAAAGAGAGGGAAATATCCGAATATCTGCCTCTCTTTGTTGCACGATCGTTTTCGTGGGCAGTCTTCTACGCTGCGCCGACTGCTCTGCTGACGTCAACAGCGGCACAGCGTTTTAGGCACAAAAAAAAAAACAAAAAAAGCTTTTTGCCTTGAGCCATGTCACCGCGTCCCTACTGCAGAACTGAAGGGTATATAAGGGACCCATACAGATATACACCCCCCTGGAAATCTCTCTCTCTTTCTGCCATGGCGTTGTGACGTCACTGTGGAAAAGTGCTAGGTCGGGGTCGTCATTCCGTTGGTATCTCTAAATGTGGGCTCTCTTTCGCTCTCTTTTGAAAACAGCTGCGAACGAAAGTTGAACCCAAACCACAACCACCCCCTCGTTTCGCCCGGAGAGTGCCTCACGACTCTCACGTGGCCCTCAAGGTCGTTTGGGTGTTTGCTCCCACTCGCTTTTGTTTTTGTTTTGCCCCCCCACGATGATTTCACACTTGTAGATACCACCAGGATATACATACGTATGTATGCATACACCCCCCGCGGAGGTCCTTTTCTGCACTGGGTTGATGTAACACGCCCTCTTTTACCATCGCAACTTTGGATGTGTTTCTTTTTATGGCTGGGTCGGTTCCAAAGGACCTTGGGATTCGTGTGCGGAATTTAAGCAGGAAAGTTTGAATTTCTAGGCGAAACGAAAATAAAGCCAAATTAATATTTAATGTGGATGTCAGTCCAAAATTGTGATACTTTAAGGTAGTCAGAAAAGTTCTTTGCATTTTCATTTTGAATTATGCTGAACCATCTTTAATTAGATAAAGGAGATTTGAGATATTTTGATTCAAGTTTGCTTTAATTTAATCTGACGTTCTCATTTGAGTTGAAACCGTTCTCAAATAGAAACAGAACAGTTAAATTGGCGGTTTTGGGTATCTCAACAACTAAACTATACTTATGCAAAATTTGGTAAATTTAACTACTCTTTTCTCACCATTTTGTTTTGATATTAAGAAAATTGAACCCAAAATATACTTATACTGTTTTTAAGAACGAATGTTCTCAATTCAAGAACAATGTACTTAAATATTTATCTCTGTGCATACTAAAAAGATAGATTTAAAAGATTTTATTAGAATTACCTCAGTTGTATTATAATATTTAAAAATATTATTATATGCAGCTAGACAAGTTTGATTAGATTATGTTAAAAATGTTTCATAAACCAAGAAGAAGCTTAAAAAATTCGCAGAAATACACTCAACTGGCTAGGCCTCAACCTAAAACGCTTCAATAACTTATGAAAACCCAGCCTAGCCCAAGTGCTCATAAATTATGCCAAGAAAAACGAATAATCATAGGGGGAAATGCGTCAAAGAACCGACTTGTGCTCCCCTGAGACATGCAACATGAACAATAATCGAACACAAAAGACATGCAATTATACAAAGTCGAGGCAAAACAGAAAAGCAAACAAACAACTCAGACTTGGGGGGCTCGTGCCAGAGGCATATAATTAAAGGCCCGAAACACTCATGGAGTTAACACAAATCAAAGCCAGACCAGATATAGTGGCTATATATATAGGCATTTGTATATATATACATTTATGTGCGACACGCACTTGAAACTGATGACGTCCTTGGCTTTGGACTGGCACAATCCTCGACTTGGGGTTCACAGCGGATCGATAAAGCCACGCAGGACTATTCGTGGCCAGCGGCTGTTGCCAAGTCCCAAATAGAACTGGTGACGTCAAGACGGAAGCGAGACGGAAGCATAAGCGAACGCCGACTACTCGCTGTCCCACTCTGCGTATGCGTAATATTAAGTATACCACGTGTGTGGGAGCAGAGTAAACAAAAACTTTGTCCAGCAATTAAATGTCCAATTAAACGGCAGCTTTCCAGTAGCCTGACAATTAGAAGATACACAATGTTTAAAAATAAAAATAATTAAAAAAATAAAATAAAATAAAATCTCTGGTAAGCTGCAAGCTGGCTTCAAGCCAAAGATGCCATCGCAATCAGCCGCATCAAGATTGGCTTAATTGAAGCAGCGACAGCGAGCGTGTCTCATTACCAAGTCAAACACAAACTGAGTAGCAGACACCGCTGGAGTTGGCTTAAAAAAATACTAATAAAAAAAAAGGAGGCAAAAAAGAAGAGAGGTATCGATGTGACAAGATTGTCAAATAACTGGCAGCAGTGACATCAAACATTCGATGCAAAACGCGTTCGTATCGAACACAAAAATTCACACACACACACTTGGAAATACAAGTATTTGGGCTATAAAATACATCTTTGAATTTCCATAATTTTGCCTTAGCCGGTTTTTGCATTTTTCAGACTGTTTTTTGCCATAAATTTGCTGCTCGAATTCAGAACATTGCAATTAAAATAACGGATCAGCAGTCTTCACTTCTCTCAGACAAAAATGTATTTTTTGTTTATTCAAGCTAATCTGCATTTTCTCTCCCTCTTTTGGCTGTTTCATAAACTTGAATTCATAAATTCAGCTCTGCACATTTCCTGACCAAAAAACAAAAATCGTGATTCAAACTCTTAGCTGACCTTGAGAAATTATTAGCTGCTTCGCTTATAAAATTAGAATACGAAAGAAAAGAATTTGTATTCTTTCTTTTTTTTATGATTTAAATTTTGACTTTCGCTTTGGGATGTGCAGCCTGCAGCGGGAATATAACAAGTTTTTTATAATATTAGATTGTTATATATGGCCATAGAATTCTTCTTTTATGAATTCTAGTTTGGTTTTTATACATTTCGTTTTGGGTTTGTCAGGCATAACTAATGGGGAGTTGTGATGAATGCAATTATAAATGAATCGATTAGCAGGGAACATGTCTGCGGGAGATTATTCCAAAAGATCTTGAAACGATAATAACGAGCAAGATTTATGTTCTCAATTTTTATAAAGGGAAAAATAAGAAAAAAATATTAAACTAACTAAATAAAAAAGCAACATTTTGAATACATATTAAACAAGCTTGCAGAGTTTTAATTAAAAATATCTTAGAACTAAAGACTGTTACAGCTCATTTAAGTGCAATAAAAGTGCTTTTATTTATTTTCATGCCTCACCTTGCGTGTTTTGCATTTTTTAAACGACTTTACAATATTCGCACCTTGCTCAGAACAGGATCTAAATATTGTGCGATATTTTCTGCGGCACCCCCAAGCGTAATCGCCGCCT